TTGTTAAAAAATTTAACAAAACTAAACCTAATGATTTATTATATTAAAATTATCCATATAATCAAAAATTTACCATTACTTAAAATTTTTTTAAAAAAAAATAGAATTACATAACCATATTTTATATATATTTATATTTATATAATTTTATATTTAAATATACATTTATATTTATATGATATTTTTACAATCTTCTTTCCATTAATCATTTTTTTAAAAATTACCCATTTTGATTATATCATTTAATTATTAAAATATTTTTATATCATCTAATTTCATTATTTATGAAAAAAAAACTTTATAAATACAATATAAAAATAAATTTTATTTATATAAAAAAAAAAAATTTTAATTATGAAAAAAAAAAAAAAATTAAAAAAAAAAAAAAAATCAATCAAAATATATAAATAAAATTTATAAAAAAGAATTGAAAAACTTTTATAAAAAAAAAATTTGGTTTAGGAGATAAAAATTTTTTAAATTTTTGAAAGAAATCTTAGAAATAAAAATGAATTTTTGAATTATCATATGATTATTATTTTAATTTTAAAAATTCCTTTTTAATTTTTTATCATTTATAATTTTTTTTTTAATTGTTATAATTTCTTCATATTGAAGAAATTAAAAAAAATGTTATATTATATATATATATATAGATCTTTCAAAGGCGGAAGATCCCCAAAATGAAAAAAAACAAAAATAACATTTATTTTGAAATTGATTTAATTTATTTTTCATTTACCATTGAATTTTTTTGAAAATAAATTTCAATTCAAAAAAACACCCGGCCAATAAGATATCTGCAAAATATTTAAATTGCAATTCATTTCACTTTGAACAAATTGAAAAAATATATAACCATTTACTTTTTTGAAAAATATAATTTATTTAAAAAAATTTAAATTTTTTCTTATAAAAATGTTTTACTTAATATATATGTATAACAATTTGAATGATATTAATAAAAAAATTAAGATAGAGATAGATTAGATTTATAAAATAAAAAGATAGATGAATGGACACATTGTTTAATTGGATATTTTTCTTTTATTGATGAATAATTATTTAATTTTTTGGATTTTTTTTTTTGAGTTATAAATTTTTTGTTTTTTAATTATTTATGATGAAATTAATTAATATTAAATAATGGATAAATAAATCCATTCAGGAATCATGGCAAATACAAACTTTTTTTTACGAACATTTTTAAATTTTGTTAAAATATTTTCATAATTTTTCAATTTTTTATATAAGTGAAAATTTAATTAGCATCGCAATCTTCATAAAAATTTAAAAGAAATATTTCAAATTGAATATTTATAATATTCCAAATAAAAACGTTTATGCAGAATTTTTTTATAAAATTTAATTTTAAAAATTTTAAAAATTTTTTTTTTTATAAAAATTCAAGAAATTTAAAATAAATCAATATAAAAAATTTTATAAGAAATTTTTTTATTTTATTATATTTTTTTTTATTAAAAAAATAAAAAAATATCAAAAAAAAAATAAAAAAATTAAAAATTTTTTTAAAAAAAATTAACAGCATTGAAATGTTAAAAAATTTTTTTTTTTTTTCAAAATCTATAATAAAAATAAAAATGATATTTGGATTTTTATCAATGATTTATAGATCTTTTTCATTTTTTTTTTATTTGCTAAATCATAATAAAAAATTGAATTTTTTAAATTTATTTAAATCAAACCAAACAATATAATATAAATATGAAAAAATATAATTTCATTTTATTTTTAAAGAATTTTAATGAATAATATGATGGAATTTTTAATAAAAATTTAAAATTTATATATATAATTTTATGAAATATAAAAATATGTTATTTAAATTATTTTGGAAATATCAAAATATTCATGATTTAAAAAAATTTTTAATTTTATAATATTGCATTAAAATTCAGAATGGTTAAAATTGTTAATTTTTTATTTATTTAAAAAAAAAAATTTTATTTTTTTAAAAATAAAAAAATATAAATTTTTTTTTTTTTATTTTTAAAATCTATTAAAAATTAAAATAAAAAAAAATAAATAAAATTAATTAATTTAAAGTTTTGTTTGTTTTTAATTTATTTACAAAAAAAAAAAAAATATATAAAATTTTAAATAAAAGATTTTAAAGCTTATATATAAATCATATTTAATATATATTATTTTAAAATAAAAAAAAATCCATGAAAAATATAAAAATTTTTTTATAATTTTTTTTTAGGGAATCAATAATATAAATTTTATTTATATTATTCAAATATAAATAAAAAAATTTGAAATAAATTTTTTTTATTTTTATTTAAAATTTAATTTAAACATATAAAATATAAAAAAAATATCATTGGAATTTAAATTATAAATGAAATTTACAAACTAAAAAAATCAAAATATATTCTATTCAAAAATGTTAAAATGTTCATAAAATGAAATCAATCTTTTGTTGGTAATATGATGAAAGAAAATAAAACTATTTTTTTCAAATATTATTTAAGTTTTTTTTTATATTTATATATATATTTTTTTTTATTCGTTAAATTTTATATTGAAATTTTTCCCGGAATTAAATTTTTTTTTATACAATAATAATTTTATTTATTATATATAGATATGAATTTATAACTATATATATATATTATTTTATTTATATAGTTTTTTGTATTTTTATTTTTATTAACTTTTTGATTAAAACAAATTTTTAGTTTTTTAGAAATTTCAAAAAAATAAAATTTTCATAGATTTTAATGCATGTCAGAAAAAATACTATCATTTATATTGATGATAAAACACATTTTAATATTTTTTAAATTTTAATAATTTTTTTTTTCAATTTTTTTTTATAAATAAATTACTTATTATTATTTGAATATATATTTTAATTATTAAATATTTATATATAAGAAATATATAAAAAATAAAAATTATATATACCAGGTGTAACAGCAAAATTGTCCAAATCATGTAACAGCATAATAATCCCATCCCAAAAATGTTTAATAAAAAAAAAACCACTAAACTAATTGAGTTTTTTTTTTCCAGGTTTTAAGATAAGACATTTAGCCATCCTGACAGCATTTATGGTAAGAATCACTGAAAAACCCTTTGAGTTATTCAGCTAAAAAAGAGAACAGGTTAAAAATTTTTTTGTGTCAGCCCCACTGTCTTCCCAAATGAGCAATGGTGAGAGAAAAAAGATCATTCAGGCCTTCAGTAATGGTACCAACATTCATACTCTGGCTTCCATCTTCAAAGTCCATTCAAGAACCATCAAGAGAATGAAGGAAACAGTAGAGATGGAAACTGAATCAGGAGGTCACAAGGAAGAGGGATCATCATTTCAACTTAGAGCTAAAGAGATCAATTAGAAAAGATCCAACTCAATCCATAAGACGTTTGGCATGTGAGAGAGGAGTTTCAGCTATGACAGTCCAAAGAGCAGTGAAAAAAAGACTTGAAAATGAAATCGTACGTGAAACGTGTGAGGCACCTTGTTACTCCAGGACAGAAAGTTAGAAGGTTAGAGAGGGCGAAGATCATCTTGAATAATTTGGAAAATGATCCTGGAATATATATATATATATATATATATATATATATTTATATATATATTATATATATTTCAATCCTCATAGCTTATGATTAGCTTAATTAATTAATGATGAACATGTCATTTTTGTTTATGATCGATCATCATTATGATTTTCTTCTGTTAAGCTTGGAGAGTAATTATACATTCTTATTGCTCAAAGTAGAGTCCAATAGTGTTATAAAAACCTCAGAGAATTCCAGTAAGATATCTTTAATCATTTCTAAGATACAACAGTTCAAAGTTTAATCTAACAATTGAACAATTTTGCTGATTATAACAAACATGTTCTAACATCACTACAAAAATAGTCATTTTGTTTCAGCACTTCTTGTGTCTTCTCAAGTGATGGTGTTAAATGCCATTCAAAATTCAACACTTGAGGAGACACAAGAGGTATTGAAACAAAATGACTATTTTTTTAGTGATGTTATAACATGTTTATGTTATAATATTTGCTCTACTCTGTATTGAGCACTCTTTACAAGTGCAATATTGGTCTGGATAACTGGGAGACTCTAACAAAAAAAACTAAACTAAAACTACACCTGACAATGGAGTCTTGACTAGGGTACAGAATTAGGGTACCCCAAACCATTGTTACCTACGGGTGATCCCTGGCTACAATCTAGCATCTATTTGCCAAACCAGGATTATGGTATTTTATTTTTTTTTTAGATGTGTATGTGTGTGTGTGCATGTGTGTAACTAATATAGGTGGAAGGTCAAGGATGAAAAAAGAAAAAAGTGGAAAGGAGGAAAAGGAAATATTTATTTATTTTTTTTCTTTAATGAATGAAAATGGGGATAAGTGTAAGCAGAATGTGATGCTTGAGCATGTTTCTATATGTGTGTGTGTATGTATGTCTCAGAGAGGGGAATTAAATCAGTACTTACCACTTCAAGCCAAGCACACCACCATATTCCTGGTCAGATAGAAATTGTGGCTGTGTTTGCTTCTTTTTTTATGGAAGAGCATACATTCCCGCAAACCGGAAATCATCAGAGATTGGACAATAAATTACCAAGAAGCATCACATGGTGTGTAGTTAGAATGATGGAAAAAATTGTAGCTAACGGAATTTACACAAGTCGATACCCGATCAGTATCGGCTGGGTCACTGTGGAGAGGGGGTATGATATTGAAAGACCCAAAACTCCTAATGAACCTCGGCTAGAAACATCCCTCATGATGTATACTAAAGTATTTCAATAGATGTATTTTACAAAATACGAAAATGATTTCTCCTTATTTATATTCCCTTATCTAATTTTATATTATTTTTAAGTGTGATCAGAAAGTCTATGTCCCTTTGTTTTACAACCATGTCTTAACTTTTCCTGTCCAGTGGGTTAAGCCCCAAAAGAATGCAAGTGAATGAATTTGTCAAGCTTAATGCCACCAACTTACCACTAGAATTGAGAATGCCAGCTTCCTGCATAGCTGCACTAACAGTAAATGCAGCCATTGATTTGCTGTTAACATAGGAATTGCTGACCAAAAATTCAGAAAGCTCTCGCAGTCCTGAAAATGCTCGTTCCAGTAACTTCTCTGCCCACTCACACACCAACTGGCAGGAGGCACTGAAAAGTTCATCTCGGCTGTAACAATCGTCTTCCTGTCAGTTAGAAAAAACATTTCAGATTTTAATGTAAGAGAAAAGTTGGCATCTGATTTGGAAGTAGAAGACAACAGTGAGCATAGGAGGATTTGACTCGTCATTTGAAATCAACAGTTTTTATTTTCCCAAAAAGAATAACATTTTAACAGGCATTACTCAATTCAACCAAAACTGTAACTAAATTGGTACAATTCTTGAACTCAGTATAAAAACAATGTATTTAGTAACTTTTTTTGTTTAATTTTACATTTTTTTTTCAATGTCCATAGTGTAATTCCTTAAGATTTTATCAAATTTAAATGAGTTGCTTATAAAAAGAAAATCAGAGAAACTAAAGCAAAATATCTGAAAGAGACGTGAGAAAAACTGAAAGAAAAGACTTACACGTAATTTCCTGGGAGAGATTTCCAATTCTGGCAGAACTGGGGGTTGTACCTCTAGCTTCTTGCGAATGCCACTGTATACATATGTAGAAAGAGTCAAGGAATAAACAAGTAAAAAAGACATTTTGCTGTGAATCTTTATTGAAATACCTGCTTAACATATCAAATTTTGCATGTGTCACCCAAACAGGTTTATGAGGTGACTGAATTTGCATACTCCATGGCAGATATTATATAAGTAATTTGTATACGCTATGTCAGATATTATTTGAGGTAGATTTTTCTAATTTCACATGTCATGCATTTTCTGGATATCACGGTTGCAGTTATTTCCCTTTAGTAACTCAACTTTTCAAGTTTTTGTTTCCTCTACTGTGGCCAGGTATTGAACTCACAACTTTTTGGATTATTCAACCAACACTAAATGTGGACTAAATAAAGGGTTCAGTTCAAAATTCCAACGTATATCACCTGAAGAAGGCCAAAGTATACAATGGCCGAAACATTGTGAATATGGCAATAAAGAAGAGGACAACAGTTCAAATGATGTAAATAATTACAATACTTCATCTCAGAAATATAAACAGATGTTTTTTATTTATATTTTTCAATTTTATTCGTCTGTTAGAGGTAATGCTAGAAAAATAAATAAAAAATACGAAAGGAAATGAAAGGTCCTAGCCATTAAGGTTAGAGCTGGTAGAATGAAGGAATGCAGTTTGTTTGAACATTTTCCATAAAAGTAGCAATAGAATAGTGAGAGGCTTGCCACATCCCATGTATGAGAGAGAGAGAGAGGTTGCCGGTTGGAAAATTTGTCACCCACAAGGATGCAGAGATGTTTTTCATCATCATGGATACAATATAGTAATAATGTTATTTCAGGATTACAAAATTGGATGGCAAACAAATATAGTAAAGCAGAAGGAAAACCAGTGAATCTTCTAGAATTAGTTTCTATAATTAATCACAAATTAATTGACAAACAAGTGATTAGAAAAACATGTAAAGCCCAATGTTCTGTGGGATGACCTTGTCTTTTTTTTTCTTTCTTTACTTACTCTGTCAAACTACATCAAAGGGATAAAATTCAAAGCAGCTGTTTCTGTGACAATCCCATAATGTACAGATTGTTGCTAAAGTATGAACACACAGGAAATGTCATTAAGTATATTGTTTTTACCTCCACAAATTAAACATGGTTTTGTCAAAAGAAAGAATTGACTTCTTTTTCTGGGGTATGCTAAAAGAGAAGGTGTACTCAATGAAAATGACAGATGCAACACACTTGATTGAATGCATAAAAAGTGAATGTGCTAAAATTGACAGCAATGTAGAGTTATTGCACCGAGTTTACGTGAATCTTGCAAAGTGCATCAATCTTTGCATCACAAATGATAGGAATCATATTAACAATATTATTTAATATTCCAATTTAATAAAATGTTGTTGAAAATTACATTTCTTGAAAATATGCATAGGGTGTCCAGACTTTAGGGACACACCCTCTAGGCTAAGATATGGAGACTTTTTATCATCACATTATATTGATAAAGCTTTGCAGGATTGCAAAAGTGGATGGCAAATCATAGAAGAAACACCAGTTGATCATCTAGAATTAAGTATCTATAATTAATCACAAATTGATACACAAGCGATTAGAAAAACATATAAATCCCAATATTCTGTGGGATTACCTTGTGTTTGCTTTTTCTTTACTTACTGTATGAGACTACATTAAAGGGACATAATTTAAAGCAATTACTTGTGTCTGTGACAATCCCATACTCTAGTAGAATTGACAAAAGACGTTAAATAGATTTGATATATAAGGAGAAAGAAAATAAATACTGTTTCTGGATTGCATTTTTTAGGATAGACTTGACCCAAAAAACCCCCCAAAAAAAAAAAAAAAAAATCTGTTTCAAGGAAGTATTTAAAAATATAACTGAGATTCAGTAAGCCAACAACAGAACAGACAAGATCAGAATTAAAACAAACCAATAACAATTTTTGACAATTTTTTATCTGGTACACTTTCTTCAAGTGTTTGCTTTTGTATCCAAAAGTTGGTCAAAACGAAAATTCTCTAAAGTATTCAAATTTTGTTTTAATATTAAAATGAAATTTTTATTCAACATTTTTAATATCTTATCTTCATTTTTGAAAAGTTTTTCACAGAGTCTTCGCCTGTATACACAATAGCAATCACTGGAAAGAGCAGAGTTCATGTTGGTTCCTAAAAATGCAATTCAGGAAAGTGTTTATTTTCTCTCTCCTTATGTATCAAATCTAATTACATAATCTTCTTTTGTCACCCGTACTATATTATGGGCACTTGATTTGGAATTTAATGCCTTCCTTTTTGTTTCTTAAAAAATTGATTTTGCGTAAAGAAATATAAAAACATCTACTACCATTCTTAATGGAATATTTGCATTGAAATTAAAAGGATATTTTGACTGGCCGCGTTGTCCCAAACGTCTTGGCTTGATATTGGGAAAGACACATTTCATTATCTTCCCAAAGTCAGCAGGGCTGAGGGGACGAAGGTTTAAACTCTCACAATAATTTCTACAAAAAAAAAGAAGACTTTAAAAGAAACAGCATTCATATTTGTCAATAATCAGAAATAAAAACTGAATTGCAATTTTCAGCATCTTTTTTATCTTTTCAATTTGAATTTTGTAATGTTTTAAAATGATGAATGAAAGTTTGATTCATTTGTTTAATGGCACATTAACTCCTTATGGGTCATTTAATGCCAAAATCTAATTTTCTTAGGAGCTTTGAAGTAATAAAAATACAGGTATCCTTTGATTAATGCACTAACATTTTTATATACCAAAATTTGATTAGTGCATATATAATATTCAATCAGTGCGGTAAAACATTCTTTAGTTTAATTGACAATTGATTTTTTTATAGTTACTGATGTACAAATTAACTGCACTAATCTCGGGATTACTGTGTATGTTATTCTGCTTTCACAGTTGAATACATGGTCGATGATACTCTGCTTTTGTGCATATACATGTTTGTGTGGACATAATTACTAGAGGAGGTGATATGTGGGTTTTATGTTGTAGTTTTGTTGAAGTTATATTTTGAAATACAGTTTGATTTAGAAAATTGTAGGATATTATATGGATTAATCTCAAGAAACAGTTCTTTCATGTTGGTTGTTTAGTTGGTCAATTTTGTTCAGTGGCATATCAACACTTCTATGGGTTATTTAATGCCGAAATCTAAATATTTTGTATGTAATTTTGTGCTTTCAACTACATATATTTTGTACATTCTTTTATACTTCCAAAGTAAAGGTATAATTTTTCGATATATATTTTGTAGATCATAAAATGTATTGTTGGTAATTATGGTATAAAAGTGTACTGTTGGTTTTTGTTTGGGGGTTCACTATTTGCTTTAAATGACCCATAAGGAGTTGATGTGTCATTAAACAAACCCCAGGTCAGGGTGGACCAGAGAACAACAGCAATTAAGGAGTGGTTCCACCCTCATCAAAACCTCCAATCTCCAGATCAGAGGCCTTGCTACCAGATGTAGTTTATTGTCATACCCAGGACAAAAGAATGAAAGGCTTCACTGAAAATCAAGATAACGACAAGAACAGATACTACATTTTGATCTTAGCAAAAGGTTATTGATCTCCAAACTTTGATTTGCTGCCACAAGATTCTTTGGAATTGTTACATTTTCTTTTTGTTCTGAATTATATGCGGTTAAAAACAAAAGATTCAAATAAAATTTATTTATTGTTTAAATTATGATTATTTTTTTTTTTTTTGCCCAATGGATATGATTCTTTTACTGTTCAATTTGGAGACTACTGCTCTGGGTTATTAAGATTAGAGTAGTTAGTTCCTCTTGTTACTTATGGAACATTGGGTGACTTGGTATTTCAATGGGAATTGGATTCATAAGCAGTCTCCAGTCACATGTACACACACTTTTAGGATAGTGTAACCCAGTTTGAATTCAGAGTTTCCTTCTCCTAGATTGATTGCTATCCAAGGCTACTGAACACAGTCTGTCCTGCTATTTTACTCATAGCTAGGGTGGGACGGAGAAGAGATGGATCCATACATTTCCCAAGGGTATTAGCACATAAGTGAATGTAATGAACTTGACTGGAATTCAAACTTGGCTCCCTGATTCCTCAATCCAAGCCTAAATTAGAGTAATTCAATAAAATTGTTTTTCCTCTTGTCTTTTTATTCCTTTTATTCTATCATTTTCAGAGTTATCAGTGATTTAAAACACAGATTCCCAAAGTCACTAGAATATATTCTCTCATACTTCTTGCTTGTGGAACTTTCTCTTGGTGTTTTGCTTTCCAGTCAACTTTGATCTTCAAAAATGTAAATGCAATGTCAATCGTTATCTTTTGTCTTCTTAATTCTTGTTCTTTTATTGTTCACTCTCCTTAATAATGTTTTCTTTTTCTCATATTGTTTCACACCCAGTAACCTTTTGCATCTTAGTAGCTTTATTACTTTGCTTGGGGTGAAATGATAACAAAAAATATTCTGAAGAATATACACTGATCAGATAAAATCCAAAATTATCATGGCCGTTATGATGAAGGTCATAAACAGAAGATCATAAAACATTCAAATCATTTTCAATAACCAGACACTTGGATTCTTATACAAACTATCATGGCATTCTGGTCCCATGCCAAGACAAAAGTATTGTGCAAGAATTTATTTGATTCCTACCTTCAGGAGTTTTAGCAGATATATTCCCCTCCCGCAGAACAGGGATTAGAAGAGATAGTGAAAAGACAACATTTACTAAGAGCTACAAAGGACAGGAAATTGTGGAGAGCCATGATCACTCACATCCTCAAGGGAAATGGCACAAAGAAGAAGAAGAATGAGATTGTGTAAATGGTTGGCAGAACAGGGATTAGGAGAGATAGTGAAAAGATAACATTTACTAAGAGCTACAAAGGACAGGAAATTGTGGAGAGCCATGATCACTCACATCCTCAAGGGAAATGGCACAAAGAAGAAGAAGAATGAGATTGTGTAAATGGTTGGCAGAACAGGAATTAGAAGTGATAGTGAAAAGACAACATTTACTAAGAGCTACAAAGGACAGGAAATTGTGGGGAGCCATTATTGCCTACATCTTGAAAGGACATGGCATATAGAAGAAGATTGCTGAATACATTTATAGATTTTTGACAACAAATTGCCGGGCAATAAAAAATGACATGAATGATTGATGATCATCTGTTCATATTTGTCATTTTTTCTAACATTTTGTTTTGTAACTTTAAATTTCTTAGAAAAAACGTTTTTACAAATTATTAGCCAAACTTGACTTCAAGCCAAGTTAATCATTAGATTTCATTAGAATTATTTTCAAAAGAAACCCTTTTTATGAAATGAAAACCTCAAGTGATTTTCTGTGGGTCAACTGACCTCACATAAATATTAAATCTAGCAAAGATTAATTTAGAGAAATTATTTGAAAAAATATGTCTAACAAAATGAATGATATTCTTCTGAAATATATTTTCATTCAAATAAATGTTTGCATCTATATTTAATATTAGTTGGTTTCAAAGTAAGATAGTTAATTTTGTAAAATCTGTTTCTGATACCATAGCTAAGATTAAAGTGTAATATCTGTTCTTGCTAATTCCAAATCTCCAGTGTAACTGTAAGAATTGCAGAAACTTAAAATGAAAAAGGAAAATCCAGTTCCCTCCAAAATGAAAATTTTAATTCAAAATACATTGAAAGAGAAATAACATCTCTCATATAAGAATAAAAGTGTGTCTTTTGTAAATTACTTTTTCAGCTTTCTTGAACATATCTGATTTGGTTTTTTAATCTCAATACTAAGAGGATTCTTAAATTGAAGAATTTCAGATTGATAAAACCATTTCATGAAAATTTGAATCTAAAACTTCTGCAGGAAATATTTTATTGTATGGATAAAAAAAAAAATAATTATCTCCTTTTGATCATGATGAAATCATGGGATGGCCACTTAGTGATGTCACTTGATACAGTGACAAAAATGGCAGTCAGTTATTCCCCAGGAGTTAAACTGAACAGTTGCTTTTTTTAGCATAGGCCCTTCAGCATGGGCTGAGGTGAAAATCTGTCCCCCCGACCATCATATGGTGCAGCTTACAAGCCCAGTTTTCCTATGGAAATATATCTTCACCAGATATAGAAAATATCTCCAGCTTGTGGTCCTCAATTTGGAAAAAAAACCAGGACTTGCTACTTCCCATTGTGGAATATGTTCTCGCTAGTGACATAGAATCCTGCTTGCTTGAATCTGGAATCCTAAATAAGGCTTTTCCAGAAACACAAGAATCTCCTACAAATCCAGTTACTACTGTGAATTATTATATGTAAGACTCTTTTCATTTATTTACACACTACTTGTTGTTGCATATATGTGTTATAATTTATCTGTGTGGGACAAATGTAAATATGTATATATAATTTGGTATATGATTTATTGGTATAAAATTCTCTCTGGGATCAAAACATGCTTGTCATTCTATTTACTTTCAGCCATTCTGTTCTATCCATGAAATAAAGTGTTATTATATCATGGATATAATAATGCCCATAATGGGGGAAATAAAAATGGAAAAATATTCACTTTCTTCCATAGTTCACCCATTATGACTATTAATCAAACAGAAAACACTTGGTTTGGAAAACTAATAAAAGTGAACATTGATTAAGCTCAGACTAGGTATGTTTAGATAGAGTGCCAGAAGCTGATAGCTATAGATTGTTCTAGAATAAATTGTTAAACTACTGACCTGTACTCCTCGTAGACTTCTTGTTTCGGTAGACAGATGTCACTGTCTTCTTCCAAATGACTCTTGATCCATGTATAAGCCTGCGTCTGTTCCACACGACTCGATGCATGCAGAGATGAGGTTGGGCTGCTAAAAATGTTTTAAATATTTATTACAATCAGTTTGATTAAATGAAAACTCAATGGCTAGAATACCAAAGTGCAAACCAAAATGCCTAAGGTTCAATCCTGGCTAGCAGCAGTTATCTACACTAAAGGAGATTTTGTAAAAGATAGATTATCATACTGAAAGCTAGGAGGAGAAAGAACCTTGTTAACTTGAATTTGCAAAGGAAATATATTTAAAAAAATAAAAAAAGCAAAAAAGTTATACTTTTCCCTTTTTCTTTGCTGTTCTTTCTGTAAAAAACAAAAAATGGAGACAACAAAATGGCAAAGAAAAAAAGCAACTTTTGTTTACTTGATTGGATCCAATCTAATATGTCTTACTTGTGAATAAAATCAAATGAATGCTGGGTGGGTGAGCCTCATCACAATAGCAAGTGTCTTTATAAAGTAAAGATTTTAAAGTTAGCTTAACTGATAGAAGAGATTACTGTAGATAAGTACTTGAACCTCTTCACTGCATTTGATCTAAATTTGCTTGAATTCATATTCAATCTTTTATATAAGGATGCATTTAGAGATCTACACCTTTCATTAGAATGTGTTATAAAGTTTGTATAATGCTAATAGTTCTGGTTAATAATACCAGAAGGAAAACACTGGAACAAAAGGTTGAAGAACAGGTTTAATCACATGAGACACATGGATTAATAATACGGTAATAGATAATACCATAGTTCATACGACTGAACTCCTAAAGAATAGATGAGTTCATGCTGAATAATTAGTGTAGAGATAGTTGGTCGTCTTTCTACACAACACAACACAAGACAAGACAAATGATTGGTAATTAATATCACACCCATTCACATTCCATAAATAAAACTTTTCATACTCCAACCCGAAGTTGAATAAAAGAACAAAGTTGTAACCATAAACAAAAAAAAAAATGTCTTTAAAGCTCTTCCCAGTGAAATCAGTCTTGTACTCATAATACTCAGTACCATTTTGTCAATATCATAACAAAGTTTTATTCTCTATAACATTCATTTTGTCTGCCAGGATGCACACTTGGTGTTGACTGCATTCATGACGACATAAGGAAGACATAAACGATTTCACTCTTTTTTCTTTTTTTAGTCTGCATAATGTAGTGATAATGTTGATTTCAATCCTTAATAAGGAGGATTGCAAAATACTTGCCCCTCCTCTTTTATAAGCAAAAGCACACTGGGATTTTATAGGCAAAAAGGATGCTGGGATTTTTTTTCTTAGCCAATAAAATAGGCCGGTTTGCAGTTTGACAAGACTCCGTCCCGATCTGCTGCCTTGTCTAGAAGTCAGAACGCTACGTTCACATGTCTGAAATTGCTTTGTTGCGTCAACACCAATTCTTAGTTTGTAAACGTTTTGCTTTCTTATTGTTAATTTGCCTTGAATATATTGTTCGTTTGATATGCTTTCATTTTTCTTGCAAACTTTGTTAATTCTGTTTGTTGGACAGTTCTGTTTTTTATTTTGTATTTGACCCTGGCATAGTCACTCTACAGATAACATCAAGACTTGTTTCTGTCAAGAAAGATTCCCCCCCCCACCGGCAAACCAACTATTTAATTTCAAACAAACTACATTTACATCATGCATAAACATGATTAAGTACATAAATGTTTTTTTTTTCCAGTTTTCTCTTGTACACACATAAATCTAATTTTCTCTTTCTCTTCTTTTGTGATCTATGCTGTTCTTTATACAAATATACATGCAAAATTCCTCCATATGTCAAATTCATTTCTTTTGAAAGTCTTCATCATCTTCAGCAACATGAATTGGATTTACTGCCCCCTGATGATATCCACAAGGCAGCGCAAGATTTGAAAGCCTTTTCATTACCTTTTGACTTTGGCAGCAACAATCTCTTATCAGCATGAAAGTACCTCAGAGATGCATACTGAAGGTTGCTTTGAACTCTTCATGGCTTTAACACTCCTTTCTCATTTTTCCTTTTGTAACATGTCAGAACTGATAGAAAGTATTTGTTTATCAGTAGATTTCAGTGAAAGGTGAGTGACAATCACAATCCTGGTTCACATGAAGGAGCCAGCCTTGATTTCGTTTTTCAGTTTCATTTAGACACAACAGGATGGTTTCTTGACGGTCGCCTCCCCTGGTTAAGCTAGACACTTTTGTTTAACTTGTTAATATGAGTAGTCGTTGTTCCCAGATGGCAGCTTGCCATCTCTTATGATCCAGGCCAAGATTCCCAACCACCCCAGTTTGTTTTTGTCCCCTTATTATCTTGACTGGCTCAGCCTTTGACTTTCCCATTCCGTAATTTATTTTGTCCCCCCCCACATCACTAGTGAGTGAGCTGCTTGATTGTGCTTAGTGGCAGAATACAGTGGCGAATCTTATTTTTCTGTGGGGTGGCCAGGTCCTACTAACACATTTTATTTTTTTTTAGTTTGAATATTTGGTTGTAATTTATTTTGTTATAAAGTTCATCACTCTCCTCACTCATTTCATGCCATATATTTTTATATATTTTTGTAGAAAAGGAAAAAAAAGACAATTTGTATATAATCAAATTTTTATGTCATGGGTATTTTAGTAGGATCCTTGTGAATATGTGGTATTATGGTATATGTTGGATTAAATGGTGATGGATGTGTTTTTGTGGTGATTGTAAAGTATGAATGGGTTGTGAATCAGATTACCTACGTTTAGGATAGTGAGTATTGACAAGCCTCATGCCACTTCTCCTTTGACCTTGTGCCAAAATTGTAATTATATTGGAATAAATAATCATTCCCACCAATATTGGAACCAACAAAGAATTATCATTCTTTTAATCAAGCTATACAATAAAACAAATTTATTTTCTGCAGGTTCTGAAAATAACTTATCATGGAAAATAAATTTATTTCTTTTTGTTCTAAAAGTTACACTGAGTGAGGGAATTATATACATACAGTGTGAGCTGGTCATCACTGGTGGCGCCGGTAGGAAGCTTGAGGTACAGCAGTAACTTCTCTACATCAGACAACTGATTTACTTCTTGCTGTAAGAAAAACAAAAATGGTTGTTAGAAAAATTATTTCAAACACAAGGGAGATAACTCTGACGCTCTTGAAATAATGATTGTAGAGTCAGATTGGAATACACAATAGGAAAAAATATTTCTTTTAATCTTGTAGGTTAGTAGTGAGAAGAAGAATGTGAATGTAATTTATTTCACAATGTTTGTACACTAACCTCGTTTAATCCAATCAGGATATAGTAAAGTAAATCTAATGAGTAGAGTACATTTTGCAAAGGCAATTTTCTTGATTGGGATATCGAAATACATAAATACAAATTGATATAAAATTATTTGTGCTGTCAGCAGAACTATTAAAGGCTGTAATATGAAATCGTATGTCATGGAAGAAAAAAATGTCAGCAAGCTGAAAGGATTGACGTGGGAAACAAATTTGAATCAGGATTAATTTCCCATTGTAATCCATTTTGCAAAGAGGTCATTCTTCTATCTTGATAACCAGTCATACATAATTCTTTCTTGTAGCAATCACTCATGGCAAAAAGATATATTTGTCTGAAACGTACTGAAAACATTCAGAAATAAAGATTTAATGATAAGGAGTTCATTTTTGATTGATTAATCTCATTAATAAGGCACATTCTAATAATTTTGATGTGTGTCTTCATTCATTGAAGCTTGGAAATTGTAAAAAAAACAAATTTATAATAATTGAGAACATAAGCCCAAAATTAGTAGGATTCATTAATCTCTTGGGGGCAAACTAGGAGTGGTATTTATATTACCTAAGTGTCACAGATTTTATAATCTATTTCTCACCTCCTCTTCTCCCCAGACAAATTATTCAAGGACATTTTAAAGCTGACCTGCAATTTTGCTGGTAATCAGGCTGAGTATGACTTCATTTTCAAAATGGCTGAATACACTTACAAAGTTTTAAACATTTCACCTAAAACTCCAACACTGTTTTATGTTACATTAATTTTAATTCATGTCAAATGCAATCATTTTCATTGTAAAGAGTTTGGAAGTTAAAACAAACAAAATATCAACAACTTAATATACAAATTACTCTGAAGCGCAGAAATATTAAACAAAACATTCTTGTAAAATTCTAAAAGAAATTTTTTTTCTGTGACATTTTACCTTTAAATTTATAGATTTAAAAAAATGAGAAATAGTTCTAAATTGTATATTTGAAAATCGTGTATGTCTTGACTTCCTTAAAAAAAACCCAGAGGCAATGCGAACAGAAGTTTTATTGTTTATAACTTTGAAAAAGTCATTAACATTTTTTTTACATTGGTGTTCACCCTGTACAAGACCCTAGAACCCCTCGAGGCAGAGGGTCACAAAATAATATAGTTTATAGGAATAGATAGAATTTACATGTCACCAATGAAGGGAATGAGAGTGGCTTCAATGGCAGGCCTTAGCCATGGAGGTTAGAATTGGTGAAATTAAGGAATGTATTTTTCTGAACACTTTCTATGGAAATAGCAATAGAGCAGGAGCAGGCTTGAGATCTTTTGTCTATGGCAAAGGGGTTCTAGGGTGAAAAATAATTCATAACTAATAAGGATGGGGAGATGCTTTTGAACTCTATTGAGACTGGAAAGTGAAAACTAGGTAGTTCTGGCCCATATATGGCAGCAGTATTCCATTTTCAACCTGTTCTGGCACTTTCAAAAGGTAGAAGATAGCATAAGGTGTCAGGTATTCACTGGAGCAGTACAAGGAACCAACCACTTTTATCAGTATCTTTAGCAATGGATGTACAAGAGTTCCTCTTGAGTTCTGGGTTGAGTGTCTTAATAGACACTCAAGGCCCAAAGCTTCTCTGAGAGAACACATGTTTACTGCAATGAGTGAAAATTCAGGGCCAGCTAGTGAAGATGGATTCTGAGGCACTGAATGTGACCAGCCAAATCCATCACCCACCCACCGAGCTGTTAAGGTGAGATTCCAACTGAACTCCTACTTAGTGTTATTATATACAATGCAATTTGGACCAACATGATGATCTTGTTTGTTATACGAACAACATTTCAGCTATTATACTATCAGGACTTCTTCAGGGTATATTTTATATTAGTCGATACTTACCAAGTTTATTCAACTTTGTGTTGCTTGTCTGTTTTTTTTTCTATTGAACTAGGTATAATATATGACTTTTCATCACTATCAGATACAGGGGTTGAACTTTTTGCCAGCAAATTATTTTCCCTCCTGAATGAAGTGATCAGTTTGTAATAACAATTATGGGTATTGAGGACACATGACACAGTGAATAAAGGCGTTGGTTAGATCCAGTGACAGGACCCAAAGAGTGTGAGTTCAATACCTGGTTAAGGCAGTGGAGAACTTGGAGAGGGGAATTAACAGGAGATAACTGACATCCATTAGACATGGCATGTGGAACTAGAACAGTCTACCCCAGTGAGTAAAATAAGAGTGGTTGGAATGTTGAACTGAATGTTCAACATTCCAACGACCTGAAGAAGGCCAGAGCATACAACAGCCAAAACGTTGTAATAAATATGGTGACAAAGATGAAGACAATAGTCCAAATAATGTAAGTAGTGTCTTTGTATATTTTGATGTTGTTAAAATGTTTCCTCTAAGTTATAATTCGGCCCTCATTATTAATTTTCCAGTGAGCAGAGAAAAAAAAAAACCTTCTTTAAGGAAAATGAACAGAAAACTAAACTACTAACAAGAGTAATTTCAGTCATAATTGTTCGAAAAATTTCATCTAGAAGAATTAACACATCCCCCTATGTGTTAAATTCTCTAGAACGTGGATCAGATAATTTTTATCTGAATTTCTGGGACGTAGGGGCCATTATTATTTATATTATTTACAGTTGCACTAATATCCTCATTGTTTATTCCCATCCAAGTAGGAAACTGCAAAAACAACACCTCCCCCTCCCCAAATTTATATACAAAACAGATTCATGCTGGAATTTCTTCTTAGCCAATAAGATAGATTACTTCATGGTTTTATCTGCCATATTCTTGTTGCTTCTTGTCTTGAAGTCAGAATGCTGCAAGCATTTGTATCCCTTTTATATTTTAACATCATTCTTAGATTGCAAACATTTTTGCCTCATTATGGTTGCTTGGCCTACTTTTGTCTTGCATATATATTGTTTGCTTGGGCACCTCGAGGCGGTGTAATGGTTAGCAAGCTTGTCTCACTGAAACAATTATGACTGAGTAGTGAGTTCAATCCACACTGGATACCTCCTACTTTCGACCTTGTGCCACATCTAAGCTACACTTGGAAAATCACTTTATTGTTTGCTTCATATTATTTTTGCCATGTTCTTTTATTTTTTTTTGTTAGCGCTTATTGCAAATTTTCTCAATTCTGTTTGTTGGTCATTTCTGCCATTTGCATTAAACCCTGACAAATTACTGTAGACTTCAACTTTGGGGATTGTTTAGGGACCCGTATTTCAATCTGATGTAGCTGTAAACCATTCCCTAAGGGTCTTTGTACAAAAGTGAATGTAACAAACCCAACCAGAATTCAAACTCACTTGTCTGATTTCTCATTCCAAGCCACTATCCATTACACCAACTGCACATCCACCTCTTTTAAAGTCAATCATTTTATAAATTTTGGCCAACACATAAATGCTAATTGTTTGGTCAATGAATACTGAATGCTTCTTTGATGAAAATGGTTAATTTTAATACTATGAAATAATTTAAAAAATATTATGTTGAAGTTATCAATTCTATGACTGGGTCTGGTTATATGGTCACTTAACATATCCAGATTAAAAGCCAGTGAGGTATTCATACATGGGTAGCAGATCTTAGGTTAGTAGACCTGCCAGCATCCATCCCTCTCCAGATCAAACCACAGCTGATCTTCCCACTTGATGGCTCCCCTTTGTCAAGGACACAGGACTGTATATTGAAGTATCATTTGAGAAAAAAAACAATAAAAAACAATTTTACATTGGTTTATTTTATATTTGATAATCAAGAAATAAAACAGATATGCCTTATTTATTTTTATTATACCGAGCTGGTTGATATTTGATAATTTATTTTTTATTATACCAAGCCAGTTGATATTTGATATTTATTTTTATCACACCGAGCTGGTTGATATTTGATATTTATTTTTTATTATACCAAGCCATTTGATATTTGATATTTATTTTTATCACACCGAGCCGGTTGATATTTGATATTTATTTTTTATTATACCAAGCCAGTTGATATTTGATATTTATTTTGATATATGAAAGCCAGTTATATTTTTTATTTTTATCACCAAGCTGGTTAATATTTGATATTTTATTTTTTTATCAAGCCAGTTAATATTTGATATGATTTTTTTATTTGATATTTGATATTTATTTTATCATTTTGTGAGCTGGTTGATATTTGATATTTATTTTTATTATACCAAGCCAGTTGATATTTGATATTTATTTCTTTTTTATTATACCATTTGATATTTATTTTATCAGCCGGTTGATATTTGATATTTATTTTTTATTATACCAAGCCAGTTGATATTTGATATTTATTTTTTATTATACCAAGCCAGTTGATATTTGATATTTATTTTTATCACACCGAGCTGGTTGATATTTGATATTTATTTTTATCACACCGAGCCGGTTGATATTTGATATTTATATTTTATTATACCAAGCCAGTTACAAAGAGCAAGAAGAGAGCAATTCATTTAAAACTTTGCCCATGTTTTATGAATTATTTAACCACCTACCTATGTATCACTTGTAAAGTGCACTGAACCATTTGTCTGTTTCCGGTGGGTGAATCTAAGCAGGATTTCTTCCACCACATTACTAGTTTTCCTCCTTTTTATCTCTCATAAGTTAAAGCATTTACTTTAAGCATTTGAATTCAATTTTGTTTGGTAAATCAATTTTTCTTTTTCTATCTGGAGAAAAAAATATTCCAATAAAGTTTAACCTTTATGCCTGTAATAAAATGGTGTGCCAAAAGGGCAGTTGTTTTTCCCTTGA